CTTGCAAATTACATTATGTGCTAATAGCTTTGAGCCAAACCATTATGGTGTCAGGGGCTGCTGACACCCAAACAAATGGCAAAGTTTTGGATCACAATTTTCTGTGGATGTGAAAACTAACACAACAACAACAAACAATAAATGACATTTGTACAGCGCCTCTTCGACCATGTCTTTGGTCACCCTCCCGGCTCTCCATCCCTCCTGATCCCAACAATAGCTCGGGTTCAGATCCCCGACTGGCAGCGTCTTGGACATCTTCCTGATGTGAAAGGCACTATAAAATGTAATTTGTTATTGATATGGGTGGGGAGTGACATGGCCAGTACCAATCATGTCCTCACCCAATATCTTCACGTGCACATTTTTCAGAAGAAATAGACATCAGGAGCAGGAACCTAAGCCAGAAATCTGGAGCTGTGTTTCTTCTCCTCCTCCTCAGTCTATGTCCCCTCCCCCACCCCATCAACCCCAGGTGAGATCAGCTATTACAACAGAGTCAAGGACCCAAATGACGGACCTTGGTGGTTCCACCTGTCTGTGTCACACAATGAGTTAGGGTGGCAGCTGTTTTTGCCATCCATTCCTTTATAAGGCCCCCCAACAAAACATATTCAAACAGTACATGCTGTCATGTTAGTAGATTAATTTTATGAAGGAATCCAGCCTGAATATCAGGGGGAGAGTGCAAGACTTTCCAGTAATCAGTGTGGGTTTTCCATTGAGTTTAATCCAACCTCTATCTGGTAAACCCATCTCCGCTAGGGCCCCTCACTGAGATTTGATGGCTTAAAGTTGATGTGTTCATGCGTCGATATGTATGTGTGAATCTCTGTGCATCTGTGTGTGTATGCGTGCTTGTCGTGTGTATGTGGTTGTGGGAGTACTGTAGCTCAGTGGTTAGAGCACTCGTCTTTCTTCCCCACATCCGCACCACAACTGGCACCGCCTTCCACCACCTCAGGAACATCGCCAGACTACGGCACTACCTCACCCCTCACGCTGCTGAAACTCTGGTCCACGCCTTTATCACCTCAAGGCTGGACTATGGGAACTCTCTCCTCGTCGGCCTTCCCGCCACCTCCCTCCACAAGCTGCAGGTCATCCAGAACTCTGCAGCTCGTGTACTGTCCCGCACCAGGCTTCGGGACCACATCACTCCCACCCTCGCTCGCCTCCACTGGCTCCCCATCCCCCAGAGGATCGATTTCAAGATCCTCATCCTCACCTACAAGGCCATTCACGGCCTCGCTCCCTCCTACCTCTCCAACCTACTATCCCCCTACCTACCTGCCCGTACCCTCCGTTCCTCCGGCTCCGGTCTGCTCCACGTCCCCCGCCCCAATCGCCCTACCATTGGTGGTCGGGCCTTCAGCCTCTCAGCCCCGAGGCTCTGGAACTCTATCCCCCAGTGCCTTCGCCGCTTCCTCCCTCTCCTCCTTCAAGGCCGGTCTCAAAACCTTTCTCTTTGACCGAGCCTTCAGCTCCCCTCTCGACTCTCTTCCCCCTTCTCGCTCCCTCCCATCCCTCCCCTCACCCTGACCATTTCCCCCCTCCTCGCTCCCTCCCCTCCCCTGACCATTTCCCCCCTCCTCGCTCCCTCCCCTCCCCTGACCATTTCCCCCCTGCTCGGGTCCCAACCCAACTGTCCAGCGCCTTGGGACGTCCTCCCGACGTGAAAAGCGCTCTATAAATGCAATCTTATTGTTGTTGTCTCGCAAGCGAGAGACCTAATTTCGATTCCCGGGCAGGATGAAACATTGGGCAAGTTTCCTTACTCCACACACTTAACAGTAAGCAGGAACCCGGTTGTTAGTCGATTGGCGGATCGCTCTACCGGGGGTGGTAAGTCCTTCAAAAAAATAATATATATGAAAAGGATTATTATTATTATTATTATACAGGACCCGAGGTACACTCCCGATTTCTACCGTTGACTGGTCAACTTCTTGCACAATTGCTGCACATAGGAAATAACACCAGGGGTGCTTGGCACCCCACTATCTCTCCAACTTGCTCTCTCCCTACACCACTACCTGTTGCCTCCGCTCGAGTGGCTCCAGCCTCCTCCTTGGCCCCTGGACCCTCCTCCCCAGCATCAGCAGCCATGCGTTCAGTCACTACCCGCCCTACCCCCCTCCCACCTTGAAGCTGTGGAACTCTCTCCCTCAATCCCTTCGCCTGCCCCCTCTCTCCCCATTTTCAGGTCGCCCTTGAAGACTTTCTTCTTCGACCGTTCCTACGGTCACCTTTCCCCTCCCCCTGACTTGGAATCGGGCTCCACCACTGTTAAGCGCTCTGGGACGCCGCTCGGCATGAAAGTCGCTATATAAATGCGCAACATGCAGGAAGTGGTATCAGTGCTGACCTGACAACCTGGTAGTGCTAACTGTCAGCCATGTTTTTGCGACCTCTATTAAAAAACAGACTTGTGAGTTTATTGGCCCAAACAACTGCATTTTAATGTGACTTTTGAAAGGCTTTCAGACATTTCAGGAGCTAAGAAAATGCAAGTTTTGTTTACCTTGGAGATCAGAAGATAGAATGTGAAGGGCTGCACACAACCTCTTCTATCATCCGGTGGAACAGGTTTGCATAGATTCTCCCTGATCCTCGAGTCAATCAAGCAGAAACTGCACAATATGCAGAATGGCTCTAATGGCACAGAAACCATCGTGCCTCGTGGAGTATTAACAAACATAGGAACAGGAGTAGGCCATTCAGCCCCTCAAGCCTGTTCCACCATTCTATTCGATCATGGCTAATCTGTACCTCAACTCCATTTACCCGCCCATGCTCCGTATCCCTTGATACCCTGACCTAGCAAAATCTATCCACCTCAGTCTCGAAAATTTCAATTGATCCAACATGCACAGCCTTTTGGCAGAGAGAGTTCCAGATTTCCACTGATCTTTGTGTGAAAAAATGCTTCCTGATTTCACTGCTAAATGGCTTAGCTCTCATTTTAACATGATGTCCCCTCCCCCGTTCTGGATTCTCCCACCAGAGGAAGCAGTTTCTCTGTATCTACCGTAACTAATCCCTTTATCATTTGTAACACCTCAATTAGGTCCCCCTCAACCTTCTAAACTCATTCATCCTCCAGATAACATCCGTCATTTAGTTTGTGGGTCACTGCTGTACTCAAATTGGCTGATGTATTCAACTACAAAGCACACAGTAACTACATTTTACAGTATATCCTGTGAAGCATTTTGAAACGTCCTCCTGACATGAAGGTGCTACATCAAATGCAAGGATTATTATTAATTTTATTATTATTTGTTAATTTCAGTCCACCCATCCTTTATTCTGCAGTAATGCTGTAGGAAGATACTTATCTATTTCAATCAATACACCAACTGCTTTGGTCGTTTTTGTTAATTCTGCCGCGTATCGATTATCCTGTGAGTAAAATATTTCTTCCAGTCTCTCTCGTCTGCACTTTCTGTCCTTTTCTCTGATTGAATTACTGAGTGAATGACTAAATGTGCTCTGGGGCAAAGCACATTGCAAACCAGACATTTCTCTTAACAGTTTCTAGAATTTCTGCTCCAAATGCAGTTTAACAAAGGTTATTAGACTACAGTGCCTCCAAGATGTCTAGTGGCTATTTATAGACACTGCACATATACACAATACACCACAACATTTACATACTCTGAATATATATATATATATATTATACATTAGACACATTCCAAAAATGCACACAAGATGTTTATCCTGGTCACAAAACGTCACCACCAAAAAAAAACTATTCAGAACATAAGAATTTTCTAGGTGGAAGAAGACCAAGGTCCATCTAGTTCGCCTTCCACCATGGCGATCGCTTGACATGTTGTGTCCCAAACTTTGTATTGTATCCCTAGATATTATTTTCTAGCAGAAATCTATCTATTTTGTTCTTGAAATAAACAACATTGTCTGCTTCCATCGTCACCCTAGGGAGTCTGTTGCCTAAGTTTACTAGTTGCTCACTGAAGTAGTGTTTCCATAGATTTGTTCTGAACTTCCCCCCCTTCAATCGCAGGTTCTACCGTTCAGTACAAGTAGAATCTTCCCTAAGTAATACAGTAACAATTGTCTATCCAGCGAACAACAACAACTTGTATTTATATAGTGCTCTTCACATGAGGTAGTGTCCCAGAGTGCTTGACAATGGCGGATTCTGACCCTGAGCCAGGGGGAGGGGGCAAGAGGGAGGTGACCATAAGCATGATCAAAAAGGAAGGTCTTTGGGAGGGATTCGAAAGTGGGGAGGGAGGGGGCAAGGCGGAAGGATTGAGGGAGGGAGTTCCAGGGTTTCGGGGCATAGTGGCTGAAAGCACGGCCGCCGATAGTGGAATGGAGGGGAAGAGGGATGAACAGGAGGCCGGAACCAGCCGAGAGAAGGCAGCGGGTAGTGGAGTGGGGAGGTAAGCAGGTCGGAGATGTAGGGAGGTGCGAGAGCATGAGGGGATTTGAAAACAAGTGAGAGCAAACCCATTCAACATCCACATGGAGATCTGAATTTACATGTCACCTGCGTCAGTGCTGTTACAAAAGGCACCTCGGACAAGCAGGATGTGCTCCAAGGATTCTCCTGGACAGCACATACCTGGGGTCCCATCGGAGCAACAACAACAAATTACATTTGTACAACGCCTTTTACGTCTGGAGAATATCCCAAGGCTCCGGAGTAGAAAGCACGCTTCATGTGGTGCGTACTTGACTGACAGCAAACAATGTTGGAGTCACACACTGATGCATCAACTTTTTGACACTAATATTTCTCCAGAATACCAACAACCCTGATTCATTTGAGTTGACAGGAACTTGTTTGTTTGAAATCCTTTCTCAGGCCTGGAATTCCACCCAGTATTAGCCTGTACGACCACGAACATTTCAGCCCGTGCAGAAGTTAGGGAGAGTGGGGGGAAAGGGAGGAACAGTATTTCCACAGTCAATAAATAAACTGATTTGTTGTGCAGTTCAAAGACATTTATGTTGCATCTTACCGCTTTCTAACAACTCCTCTTCCACAGGGGTACCGAATAGGAACTCGTATTTGGCCTTGGCGACACTCTGTGCGTGTGGTGATGCCTTGTTGACCCAAACAAACTTCTCAGTCTGGGGGGAGGAAACACAAGAGTTATTATTTTGTAACGGTTTGAAAAAAAGAAAATCTTCAAAACTGTCCCCTTTTTTCCCCTGCAGGCTTGCTGTTATTCTAGGTTGTTTTTAAAAGAGATCTCTTACACTGCCAAAACACACAGCAATTTCTCATTGTTAGTCAAGTGCTCATTCCAAGTCACTGAGATTTGCTTTTCCCTCAATTTTTCTAATGACTTTTTCAGAGGGAAAATGCATTGTTACAGATTTGCAGACTTGCGTGAATCAGGGCTGTTGTAATAATAATAATCCTTGCATTTTCATACAGTGCCTTATCATGTCTTTGAGACGTCTTAAAGCGCTTCACAGAATATACTGTAAAGTGGAGTGACTGTATATTTTGTGGGCGAAACACGGCAGCCAATGGCACACAGCAGTGTCCCACAAACAGTCATGGATTGAGTGACCAAATTTTTTTTCTTAAGGAATTATTATCCCCGGAAAAGTGATCCGTCAATCAACTAATAACCAAGTTCCTACTTACTGCTAAATAAACAGAGCCGTGTGGGTAAGAAAACTTGCCCAACGTTCCACCCTGGCGGGAATAAAACCCAAGTCCTCACGCTTGCAAGGCAAAAGCTCTAACCACTAAGCTACAGGACTCCAGTATCAAAAGAGCCAGTATGACATCTAATGATAATGATGTAAAAAAGACAAACAGAAAAAGCCAAAGAGAAAGAGTGTGAAAAAAAGTTAGAGAGAGAAAGAGAGAGAGAGACAGGTATAGAGCAAAGAGAGTGAGAGGCTGAGAGAAATCGATAGAGACTATCCCAAAGGGTTGGAATTCTGTCTCTATCGAGACAGTGTAGTAGAAACAGACTCGATTGGTTTTCACACAAGAATCCCAATCTCTTTGGAGGCTAACCTCCATTACTGAGAAAGAGAGAAACAGGGAGAGATACAGAGACAAAGAGAAAAATAGCAGGAAAGGCTAAGAAAGGCCAGGGTGTGGGTCATTAGACATGATAACTAAAGACAGGAGTATTCTTTACAAGTATTTGAGGAATAATAGAAAGCCCAGTGTCAGGTAGATCTGATTTTACATTGTCCAATGTGTATTTTCCCATGTTCAGGACAGAATAAAAGACAAAACACTATTTCTGCAATTAAAGGGTTAACTCCACAGTACAAATCACTCTCTTACAACCCTACTCTCTGCTAAAATACAATCGCACATTTAGATCCACAAGACATCTGGGGTCTGACGCCCTGCCACTCACACACAGATGATGATGACTCCACACGCTGGTTCTGTTTCACAAGCGCTGATTTACAGTAAGCACAGCTCTTTGCAGCATCAAGAGCTACTGTTGTGTAAATGAGGACAAGCTCATGCTCACAGTTGTGACCTAAATGGGATGCATTTTTGTTGCCTAAATCACTGGTATCCTTAACAGTTGCCCTAATTTGGGGAATTAACAGGCATAAAGACATTTTCCACTGTTGCTACACAGACATTTAGTTTTCTTTTCTTAAATATTCATATTCTCATAGTCATACTTCATATTCTCCACACTTTGGTAACACGCAAATTCTTAACATCATCCATTTAGGAAATATCTTATTTAAACATACAGCAATAAATAACAAAGCCTTTACAAACTAATGGTGTCCTGTAGCTCAGTGGTTAGAGCACTCGACTCGCAAGCAAGAAACCTGGGTTTGATTCCCAGGCAGGGCAAAACGTTGGGCAAGTTTCCTTACTCCACACACCTCTGTTTACCTAGCAATAAGTAGGAACTCGTTGTTAGTCGATTGGCGGATCACTTTTTCAGGGGTAATAGTCCCTCAAAAAAATATTTGGTCACTTAATCCACGATTGTTTGTGGGAAACTGCTGTGCGCAATTGGCTGCCGTGTTTCGCTCACAAAATATGTCAATTCACATTACGGTATATCGTGTGAAGCACTTTGAGATGTCTCGAAGTTGTGATAAGGTGCTATGTCAAATAAAAGGATTATAATCATTATAATGTGGCCAGTGTTTATACATCTAAGATACTGGATCTATGATGCGGGATACCTTTGTGTCCAGCACTGTCTCATTGATAAGAGACAAGGACAAAGAGCTTTCCGAATTGCTCAATGTTGCGATTATGACCCACACGGTCCTCGGGAGGCCCAGGTTTCATAAACCTTCAATGCTCTGGTTCCTACCCTGCGTGAGGGGTGCGATATAAATGCAAGTTGTTGTTGTTTAGTGCTGCCTTACCAGTCCTCAACAGGCCAACAATTGGAGGGTGGTAAAATGTGGCCCCAATTCAATCAATTTCAGCTAACGTTTTTAACTCGATAAATTCAACTGGGGTCAAACACCAGTGTGAGCCATAGCATAAAGGAGAAAAAAGGCTTGATAGAGATTTAACACAAGGTGTCCTAACACATGTAAACCGTGAACACTATTCAAAAAGAGAAGGGGGTTTCCTCTTGTGCTCTGACCCTCAATTCGCCACTGGATGAAATTGGTCATTCACTTCCTGACTGTTTGTGGAGCATTTCTGTGCACAAATCGGCTGCTATGTTGGCTTACAAATACACAGTCACTGTACTTTACAATATATCCTTCAAGATATCCTCTCAATATGAAATATTTTATCAACAACAACTTACATTTATATAGCACCCTTCGGAGTGGGGTAGGGTCTCACAGCACTATCAAATCCAAGGAAGATTTATTAATAATCCCTCAATAATCCCATGCTAACCCCGATAATGATGTCTCATAGCACAAGCATGACATGGTCAAGATAAAGCTAGACTGTTTAACTCAACTACTAGATACTGATACTCATGCACTAACATATTAATAAACCAGGGGTATTGCGAAAAAAATCTTTGTATACAGAATGCTCTACCACAAACAGGTAATGGAAATCTGTCAATTCCCGGCAGGGCGAAACGATGGGCAAGTTTCCTTACTCCACACGCCTCTGTTTACCTAGCAGTTAGTAGGAACCTAGTTGTTAGTTGATAGGCGGATTGTTTCCAGGGTAATAATCCCTTCAAAAATGTTAAAGATAAAAATAATTTGGTCCGTCGTTCCACTCTGTTTGTGGGTCACTGCTGTGCGCAATTGGCTTCCGCATTTCGCCCACAAAATATACAATCAATTCACTTTACACTATATTCTGTGAGATGTCTCAAAGACATGATAGACGGTTGAAAAGGAAGAATATTTAAAGATGTGTGGGGAGCGAGCAGGAGAGTGGGAAAAAAAACCAGCAACCACGGATGTGTGCGATGGACTGAAAATCATGTCTCTGTGCTGTACGTAACATGGTTTGATTCTTGGAATACAAGGCTGCTGGAGGAGAGGGTCAGCCTCTGGCATATCTCCAGAGTTGCCAGGAGTGAGACAGTGAATGCACCGTATACAGCAGCATTTACTCACTCAGCAGATAAGACAACTCAGTCAGTGGGACTGACGCACATTGCGCACCATAGCCCAGCACAGCTGCAAGAAAAGACTGATCCACAAGTGCAACAAGCAGCTCAGTCCCCATGAAAAGGAGACCTGTTTAGGGAACCAGTGCATCGTTAGAAGCCATCAGCTCTTATCAGGATTGCTCTCTTAACATCCGCTTGGGTTTCAATTTCTGAACGCCAACTGTCTGCTGCTATATTACACAAGTAGCTCCGAATTATAAATATGTCATAGCACACAGCAAAAATGGGTAGATTTTACCACAGCCCTCCTTATTCTTTGAATGACGTTAACAACACATACCCATGAGTAAGGTCACCTCAGCATCTCGTAGACACACCACAGATGCCGACTTTTCGTGGCTTTTCAGACAGAACTGTCAAATTATTCTGCCCCCAGACAGATAAAATAATAGTGCTGCTTTCCCTCACCACACGCAAGCACACATACACATGGGCCAAACAGTCCCATCCACTACATTTGCAGCTCCAAGCTTCACTTGTCCTTCTTCCACTAGCATCAGTCTTACCCCAAATGACTCCTGGACCAAACAAATAAAGGCCTTCCCTTGCTTACAGTACTTACAACACCACATATATTTTAAACCGGTAAGGTCTGGCGATTTCTTTCAAATAATAATCCTTACATTTGATAGAACGCTCTTCATGTCGGGAAGTCGTCTCAAAGTGCTTCAGAGAAAATACTGTGACGTGCACTAAACTGTATATTTAGGCGAAAGCAACAGCCAATTTGCTGGCAGCACAAATGTCCCAAAATCAACCATGGATTGAGTGACCAATTTTATTTGGGGGTTGTTGACAGCTTCTCAATAGTGCCATGAGATCTTTAATAATAATAATAATCCTTGCATTTGATATAGCACCTTATCACATCTTCAAGGTGTCCTAGTTGTACGCAGCAATGTCCCACAAACACCCATGATCAATTTTTTTTTGAAGGAATTATTACCCCCGGAAAAGCAATTGACCAATCGACTAACCACCGGGTTCCTACTTACTGCAGAGGTGTGTGGAGTTAGGGAACTTGCCAGGAATCAAACCTAGGTCTCTTGCGTGCGAGGCGAGTGCTCGAACCACTGAGCTACAGGACTCCACAATGCCCACCTGAACATGTAGACAAGATCAAGTTGACGTGGACGCAAGAGTGCTACCACCCGAGCCAGGCTGACACAACCTTTTGAGAGCATTTAATCCTACTTAATATTTTATTCAGCACATTGTTCTGGATCAAATCCTGAGTTCAGAATCTGTGTCACTACCAGGAAGGCTTCTCCAGTAACTGGCAACTTGAAAAGATGATCCTCTCCTGGTCGTAAGAGGAATGGGAGCCCCAGAGGCAAGCCGATTTTCTACGCACAGTGGACGCAGACTGAGTCGGCAAATTGAATAGTGAGTCAGATAGCTATGACGCCAAGAAATTGATTAAGGAATATGAGAAATATATGAACTAAATAAATTGGCGTAAAGATGGATTGACAACGTCTTTCTCTCGAGTCCTGTAGCCAGGAGTCCACC